GGAAAGCAAATATCAACCGCTTGGTAACAACACCACATGCATTTGCTATGTGACTTCTGCTGAATCTGAGTGATTTAGTATCTGATGTTTGGGAAGCAACTGTCAGAACACCTCATTAAAATACCACCCATTTTGCAAAGAAAATTGGCAGCACTTACTGTTTAACTAGCTAATATGTTTAGAGTACATTCTAATCTTCACAGTTTCACCAGTACCTAGATATCAAATATTAGAATGTCAAATTTATATTTGTTAGCCATGCTTCTAATGTCTGAAAGTCTACATGCAGCATTCAGTAGATTGGCAAAGAAATGCTTTCAGTTTTACAAATCCTATACGATTCATATAAGTAACTGTAGGCTACGCTGCTTTGTATTAGATTAGAGGGACATATCAACTAATCTTCACAAAAGGAATGCTCCAAGTAGTAAAATCTGTATAGCTTTGTAACACTGGTATTAATTTTTTTAAAATCACATTTCTTTCAATTGAGCTTTTTCCTTTAAAAAACCCCTGACTTACTAGTAAATCAAAAGCCATTTTATATGCCTTGAATTGTTTTATTACTTTGCCATACTCTCTTGTGACCTGCAGACTAACATGTGAGAAAGTATCAGATTATTGCATTCACAAAATAGATCTGTGTGGGGAAAATTTGTCTACTGAGATGCATTTTATTAGTCACACCAATCTTAGCATTTGAAAGCTCCCTTAAAAATTGCTAGAGATTACTTCCATTCACATTTGCATCATGAAAATAAAGACTGATTGTTGATTTGATAACTATGCAACTGAAGACCTGAAAAATTCCATTTATTAAGCTACTAAATATTTAATTCCACACACTATTTCCTAGGGCTCGGGGTATACGCGTCATTTCTCTTGGCAGAGCACTTCAGCTGAATGCTGAGAGATCTGATTAAAAAACCTGTAAATATAACAGAGAAATGGCACTATCAGTGTAGACATCTATGTGTGCAATGTCATTTCTGGATTAGTTCCCCACTGGTGTCTAAAAATAATGTCGGTAATGATGTGGGGTTTGTCTTTGTATAGGTTCATTTCAATGGCTGCTGAGTGATTGGTAAACACCTTTCTAGCTGGCACGGGAATAATTGCTGTGAATAAATCTGCCTGACATAATTTATGAGAAACCGTCTCAGCTGGATTTCTTAGTACTGAGCTTTAGACGACTGGAAGGCGAGCTGCACTACAAAACCATGTCATGCAAGGCAATGCCAGATTTCAAAGCTGCCACTTCAGTGGCCGAGGTCTCAGTGAGCACCGCAGCCTGACCAAGGTTTCCAGCCTATTCCGCACAGCCTGCCAAGACTGCGGGCAACTGCCCACCCTGCGGCACGTGGTGGGGACGGCAGCATGTGAACAAAGAGCCGGGCATACTTAACCACAGATATTTGGAGACGGAAAGCAGCTCTGGAGCCCTGTCCAACCAAATGCTGCGCACCTTCGCCTGCTGCTGAACTGAAGGGCACGCAGGAAACTAAACACCTCCCAGGAATAGCTCAGCAACCAAAGCTGCCCAAGCTCAGGGTCAGCGACAGGACAAGTTTCAGATATTTCATATAAAAACTTCACCGAATTTCTTCCTCTCTAGTGGTTATTATTCAGGAAGGAAACCCATCCCATCATACACCATAAATCACCATGGGATTTATGATTTGGGAAATGTCAGCTTCCTGGAGGATGTATTTTATGATGTATACATTAGTGTAACCTGTTGGTGTGGCTTTTACTGTGACAGCTGAAGAAAAATTGGCATTTTCCTCACAATTTAAAGGCATTTAATGTGTCGCTTGGATTTGCACTGAATCTTAACTTCGTGACCAAGCTGCTAAGCCCAAGTTAAAATTCCAGCCTTACCATGCTGCATTTTCCATGGGATTTTTCTGCTATCACAAAAACATGAAGTTTATAATTATTCCATTCCATTTCTTTGGATAAGAAAAGTTAACCTGCAGTGCACCCTATATGCAGCAAACAGCTTAAGGAAGAGGCCTTGGTGCAGGTGCGGGGAGGCATGTTTGGCAGTGGCCAGGTGCCAGAGTCATAACCTCTGCCACTGCTCCATTCTGCTGGCAAGCAGGTGAGAGGAGCCCCCAGCCACCCCCAATACAAGGACAGACCCTGTACTGTTTTGCAGTGGTTGTGGCCGTGACCTATCTTCAAGCAGCCAACTGTGTTCAAGACCCTTCATCCTCCAGCCTTCCACTAACAGTGGTCTGAAAAGCTTCCTCTGGCTTCAGATCTGCTGGAGGTAGGGTACCAGGCAAAAAGAAAACGAGGCACACAATGCCATTTTCACTATTTTTGGAAAATTCGTTCCAATCCCCATCCTAAAGACTAGCATTTAATTGATGGTTGCAAGGACAGAGCAGAAATGAGGAACTCCATGTCTGACTTGCTTGGAGAAACCTGCACGCACAGTGCTCCCCCTGCTAGGGCCAGTCCCCAGCTCCAGCCACCTCCCCTGTGCCCAAGGGCAAAACAGGGAGTGCACAGGAACTGCCCCCTTCCCCTGGCATTGCCTGTGGCATGAGGGCAGAGGTGGGGGAAGGTGAGCCGGATGAATGACTGCATGAGCTGCTTCCCAACTGATTTCTCCTCCTTTTGCCCAGTACGTACGCTCCCATCTTTCCCTGGCTTGTAAAGGGACTGTTATTGCAGGTGGAGTTTAAAGTTTAGTGCTCAGGATACATTTTTACCATTTCAGACTCAAATAGGCAGGAAAAGCTTTCTTCAGAGGGTGGATGAGGTGGGGAGGCAGCAGTGCAGGAGGCCAGGAGCAACGTGGGACACTCCAACAAGAGGTACCTATAGCAGCCCCATAACTGGGGATCATTATTCTCAAGCGCTTGGGTTTTACCATGATGCCCTGGCTGTACCCAAAGACATGGAATCAGCTGTATATTAAATGACAGTTTTGGTTGTTCCCCTAACTCCTGAAAAACAAATAACTGAACTGCTCAGCTGTGATGAGCGTTCCAGTTGTTGGTTCAGCCCTGAATTTCCTGGTTGAAACCAACTTACTTATCTGAAGATATTGCATTAAAAACAAATGCTGGCTTGTATGATTTCAGCTCATGTTCCGAGCAAAGTCATACACAGGCTGAAAACATTTTTGTTTGATCTTACTGTGTCCTCCAAAAGAACATTAGATCATGCCAGCAAGGAATACAATGGCAAAGCACAAACTGGCTAAAGAAAAAAGGATATATTCATTAACATAAATTGTGAAAGACTTTCTAAAATTCTGTGTTTATCTAAGATTTAAATAGTGTATTTCTTGATCTGACCATTCCAGTTAACCATAAACACTAGATAAAATGGAGCAAGATTGTTTTAATGTCCTCTTTAGAGCAAAATGAAGGATTTCTTCAGAATCTTTTATTCTACATTTTCCCATGCTTTAGAAAACTACAACACAACCGAGTATAAGCCAGCCCTGGAATTTGTGCCCGAAAGTCACCCACCCTAAACTGCACCTTCCCCAGCAGAAATACCTACAGGTATCTTGCTTTTATCTGTACATGAGAGAATTCCCTTTTCTTAAAAACTGGAAAAAGCAAGCCTCGGCAAGGTTGGCAGTTAGTGAAAGGGGACAAAATTCAAGACCAGAAGAAAACAACTTCTGATAAAGCAAAAACATACTAAGGTCAGCAGAGATACAGCGAACTGTACCAGCTGAGACTCAGATGTAAGGAAACAGCATTTATATGAGTGGTAGAGAGCTCCGCACACAGTAAACTTACCACTTCTGAATGCGAGCTGAATCTGCATGATATCAATGCAAGATTTGACACTGTCCTCCTGGAGGGACTGGTTCAGTGTTCCACTGCGTTTTGTAGGCAGCTAATCCAGGCATTTTCTCCCTCCTTTTCCAGGTGACTGGCATAAGTTTGCCTGGATTCTATACCTCGGTGGAGATGACCCCTCCTTTTGCAGTCCGTCTACTTGTGGGAGAACATCAGATGGATCTTTGTTCCTTTCCTTTTCTATAGCTTATATTTTCCTTTTTAAATGAATCCTCTGTGCTGGGGAAAATATGCGTTTTAAAAACTACCAGAACAAATCACTTAATTCAAAAAAGCTTTGCCAGCCTTGAAAATGCATTAAAATGTTACCAAGTTTTATCCAACCAGAATTGGTTCGCAAAAACATTCAAAAATTGACACTTCCACGCACAGATCAAAAAAAGTATCTTATTTGTAAGAACACAGCCAGCTTTACTAGCTAGATACGTACTGTAAACACCAAGTCCTTAAAGAAAAGGTAGTGTGAAGAACAGCAGCTCCTACACTTGTGCTGCAGTACCCTCTTGCGACAGATGGGGCAACTTCAGATTTAGAGGAAACCCAGAAGATGCTCTACTGCATCAGTCAACTGAGGCACAAGCTATATCCACAGAAAAAAGGGTGGGTTGTTTTTTGGGGGTTTGTTTGTTTGTTTGTTGGGTTTTTTTAAGAAACTAAATATGCTGTACTTAAAACTTTTCTCAGGAAAGATATATTTAGTGCTTTGGGGTTTTGAAAAAGCTGAGTGTTTCCTCACTCTGGGGTGTCTTTGCCCCTATTCAAATGACTCCTACTACAGTAACAGGAAACTAAGCAGGGCACCTGAACCTCGCTGTCCCCAGCCTGCGGTACCTGTGTGGACAAGCCAAGAGATGCTAAAAAGTGATTGAGCACTGGCATTTTGGCTACTGCTTACATCACTTGAGTAATTGGGAGCAATAGCTACAGGTAGAAACACAGATTTTGGTGTTCATTTGACATTAATCCTCCCCCGCCTTTCTCATTTCTGTAGGTTCTTTACTGAGAACATATTTTGCCCCAGACTGAGCTCCCAGAATTTGCTGGTTTTTACTTTCTGCGCCTCAGAAGCCAGTTCTGTTCTTGAATCACAAAAACGGGGGTCAACAATTAGCCTCCTCTTCTCCAGAGCAGCCATAGATCATATGCACCAGTTAAATCTGGCTCCTGCAACAGGTTCAGGCTGTTTCCTAAGCATGAGCCACACACCTGCCTACATCTTCTCCCCTCACTTTGTCCATGGTACACAAGACTCATGATATTTGTTACTGCTCAGGTTAGACTGAACTGTTGGGATCACAGTAAATCATCCAACTTCTCCAGGACTTCATGAGTCAGGTCCCACTACCCAAAATCTTCTCTCCTGCCGAGTCACACCTAGGACGGCTGCATCAGCCTGTGCACTCCCCCTCCGGGCCGGGGTGGGTGGTTGCCAGCAGATGGCAACCCCTTCCTACAGTCTCAGGCAGCCAGCGGTGAGTCTCAGGCGTACAGAGTGTTTGGAAAAAATAGATCTGAATGATTAAAAAAGATACAAATTAAGTATTTCTATAATGAATTGTATTACATGTTATTTACATAGGAGAAATATTATTTAGTCCTGGATTTTTGGACACAAACCTCCCTCTTAGGATACAGAGCCTACAGAAGGAAAATAAAGAACCAGTTCTCCCTTCCTCTCTCACCCACCTATACACACAGATATACACTCCTAGCAAGGTTTTGTTTCTTAAAAACTTGAGAAATGTTCCTTTTCCATTCTCTTAATGATATCATAGTCACAGACATCAGAAAATGATTTAAAATAATCACCACGTGAGAAAAGGTCCCAATTTAACCAGCATTTGGTAGACAGCTCTCTCTGCAACAACCCTGCCTTGGAAAATGTTTCCATGAGCCACATTTCTGTAACACCACTTCTCTTAAGTCCTCCCTTGTTTTTATGGAGCAAAGAATAAAAGACAGAACTCATCTGTCTTTCCTCAAAGAATCAGCATGTTTTGCAATGCACCCCAGATGACAAAGGATGTCACAAGTAAAATTTTGCCAAAATTGGTGTTATTTTTTGCTATTTTTACCATTTACATATGCTTTTCTACTAGCACATTCAGAGTAATGCTGCACATGGTCATACATATGGGACACACACAATGATAGCATTTTGCATGCTTTCATTGCAATGCCAACCTTTTAACAAGCAATTTAACTCAGAGATAACTTAATAAAACTAAGATAACCACTTAGTAGTCGCTTCAGAGAGCGGAGGTGTAAGACACTCACTGCCATTGAGCAGGGACTGCACATGTTCTGCTTTCCGAGCTCCAGCCCAGCCTGCAGCAAGCTGCGGTTCCTCTCTTTTGCCAGGCTGCTCTGGCAGCCCTTCCGCAGCCTTTGCTCCAGCAGCCTTCTCTGTTTTCCACTTCTACATCTCAGCCCGAGGGGCAGCAAGATCCTGCATAAGACTACACATTTGGTAAGGGAAATAGATTTGAATACACTTCTCCTACCAAAAAAAATTTACATTTTTTAAATAGTTATTCTACTTTGCTCTATGCATTTATATGCAATCAAGTAAATATTAATGATGCTAACGAAAGTGGTAGCAGTGGCACAGACTAGAGAAGCAGAGTAATTTGGCTTTACCTTGCCAGCGAAGGCAGATGGGTTTATAAAATCCTCATCCAAAACATAAAAGGCCAATGGTCATTTTTGCAAGGCCTTACTTAGACACAGAAACTCACCACTTTAATTACCCTAGTTTAAGTTAATTGCTGCAAAACGCAGAAATTGTTAGTTCAGTAAAAGGCTTTCCTCAGATTCAGGTTACTCTTGTTTCATTTATACTAAACTGAAATAAGCTATTTAAACCTCAAAGTGCACGTGACCTTCTGTAACTGCTTAAGTGCTTTAAAATCATGCTGCAAGGAAAAGGGCACACAGAAAAGCCCAAAGGCTAGGACAAAAAGGAAAAGAAGGTACTTTTGAAGATTTTTATAGGGGAATAATCTCTAAAAATAGCCTTTTAATAAGTTATCTTGAAGTTTAAATTTAAAGCAAACTCCATGGAGAGATTGCATATGGGCTGTATTCAGTGTGTGGAAGAAAACAACCCTTCTGGGAGTATAATAAGCTATACTAGATTATATTATTGGCAGCTAACAAGAAGTTCCTGTTTTCTGAGTGTACCTCAGAATTATTCATTTATTTTTATCTGACCACCAATGCCTTTGCTAGTTCAGCAGATACTCTGAACTAGTCATCAAGTTTTCCAGGTTACAAAATCACCAATCGTATTGAAGTCAAAATATTCCAGGTGTTACACGGATAGTTACAAACATCAACTGCCAGCAATAGTTTAGAACATACTAAAACCCCAAAAGCAGCACAAATTCACTTACTTTTTCCTCTCCAGAGAAACCGATGCTGCTGCTAATTGATTCAAGTATGTTCTAATACTAATATTATAATCTAATATGTTATTCATGCAAAATGAGAATTCTAAAATCCCAATGTTTATTTTTATATGAGCATATACATGGGAAGAAAATACAGGAAATAGTTTAATTTCAAAATATTTTTGAATTTTTCAGACATTCCCTAAGCGGACTTGTTTTTTTTCCTGGTAGCTATTTCTGAACCAGCAACACAAAGTTTAAATGCTGTCAGATGCCAAAGGATGTTTTCTTCTAAATGAATGCTAATTAAATTAGTAGCATAGGTAATTACATTGACTTTAAATTCTGTATGTATTATGTAAGATTCAAGCCAAGACAATTAATATTCAGCATCATGTGTTTTTTATCTTTATCTTTCTGTGTTGATATATTAACATATATTTCTTAACTGTGCAAAGTTATTAAATTAACGATCCATAATGTACTGATCATCTCCTTGATGACTCTTTCTGCAGCTCCTTTGCCTTGAGCTATTGACTGTGAACCTCAGTGTGCCAGGTCCTCCTGCATCTAATGAAAACCGGTGGCCACCTCCCATACATAACATTGCATTGTACATCAATCCGTGTGGTAGGAAGAGTTTGCATGTCAGTGAAGGATTTGGTAATACGGCTCTATATACTTTTAAAATAAGCTCAGGTGAATTACATATGATCCCAGAGAATTCCCATTAAAACAGTGTCCTTCACACACAGCTTAAATTAATCTTTGGATCATCACTTCTGCTAAGAACTGTCACAAACAATGCCACCCTCTTGTCCTTGCCAACACAATTCTACAGCAGCAGTAGTTGTGAAAGAACAATTCTGTCCAAAAACCCCATATGCTGCAGATGCAATTGTCTCCTTGGGGAAAGAACAAGGGCAGCACAAACCATAACACTGAGATTTTAGCCAAATCATGTCATGACCTCAAATGTGGCAATGCATATGGCAATGACAGCATAAAAAAACCTGCTTAAAATAGAGTAAAAATAGTCTTAAAAGCCTATTCTTTGGCCTTTGTCCTGTGCCTGACAACTGTCTACATGCCAGCTATAGAGAGAGGGGGCTTTTGTGACACCAGCTCATCTCAAACCGGCCACATGTCATCATGTGGAAACAATTTCCAGTCACTATTTGGCTGGACTGCATTTATGGCAGCAACAGGTGAGAAGCGCTATTCCTTTTACTCATTGTCAGGGCTACTGTGGCACAAGGCCTCTTGATTGATTTGGGAGGCTAATGACTGACAATGTGTCATGTTTCAGGCTCATACACAAGACTTGTTGACATACAGTATATTTTTAGTTGATCTATTTTTAATTTAACTTCTGTATTGCGCTTACTGCTGCAAAATCCCTGAACTTCATTCCACATGGCAGTACTGCCACCTTGCACCCCAGTCACTTCAGGGATACTGTTCCAAAAGCATGAAGTTATATATATATAATACATATATGTATCTACAAGTCACTAAGATGAGAGGTTTGGTCTCCTTATGCTATGCCCTGGACTCTGGAATTGGAGTGATGACATAAGAAAACCTTCACACTGAGACACCTGAAAATATTATCCTAGAAAACGTCACGCTGGCTGCGCTGGCGCCCAGGGCTCAGTAGCTGGAGCGGTTGCAACACGAGCTGTGAGGGCA